ACCTCTCTGGCAGCGGCGAAAACGGCGGCGGAAACGACGACGACGACGACGAGGCAGACCTCAGCGACCTGAGCACCTACGACGGCGACGCCCAGCCGCCGCCCTTCCCCGAGTCTGGCGCCCTCAGCACGTGCGAAGCAGAGGCCCTCTTCGCCGGCGACCGCCGTCGTCGCCACCACCGGGCACGGTCGCCGTCGACCGACGTCCGTCGTCGTCGCCGTGGCCGTCGCCTCCTGCTCCTGCGCCTCCCTCCGCGGTTCCCCTCCTCCGCCTGCTCCCTGGGGAAGGGGAGAGGCAGGGCTCTCCTGTCGCTGTTGTCCTCGGACCTCTGCATCGCATCTCTCTTTAGATGGACGTGCATGTACATCTGTGTCTCTCTCTCTCTCTCTCTCCCTCTCCCTCTCTCGCCCTCTCTGTCTCTCTCTCTCTCTCTCTTTCTCCCTCTTCCTCCCTCATTCTTCGGGGGGAGATACACACAGAGTGAGAGAGAGAGACCCCCAACAGATCGCTGGAGGGAGGGAGGGGAAGGGGCATGGAGAAGAGGAGGAGGGAGGAGGAGACGGAGAAGCAGGCGAGACTTCGGAGGGCGAGGGGGAGAGGGAGAGAAGCAGAAGGAGGACGAAGGGGAGGAGGTAAAGGGAGGAAGAGGGAGAGGATGATGAGGCAGGATCGACAAAGGAGCAGGAGGAGGAGGAGGAGGGAGGAGAAGAGGACGTCTTTAACTTTACTTGGTCTTACGTCAAAGAGGAGAAGCAGAGGGGGGAATCAGAGCAAGCGTAATAAGCTTGATAACAATGCGAGGGGAGGGAGAAGAAGGAGAAGGCTGGCGGCGGTAGAGATGGAGGGTGGAGTGCAAAGGGAGCGTGGAGGGAGGAGGGATGAAATTTCGTTCGATGTGTCGAACACGCTTTTCTGGATCGGCGCAGTGAGGCGAGCAGAAGAGGACCATTGAGAAGGATGAGATGGAGGAGCAGCAGAGGAATACAGAGGGGACGAGGAGGGAGGAGCAGCATGTAGACGAGAAAGGGTGGCGGAGGCGAGGAGGAACATGAGAAGGATGAGGGGGAGGCGAAGAGAAGGAGGAGGCGAGGAGGAGGAGGAGGAGGAGGAGGAGGAGGAGGAGGAAGAGGACGAGGAAGTGAGGAAGAGGAGGAGGCAAGGGAGGGGAGTGGAAGGAGGACAAGAGTAACCCCAGGATGTACGAACGAGGCTGCGGTACACCTGTCCCGCGTCCCCTCCTCGAAAGAGCACGCAAGCGCCACTCCTCATTGTGGGAAGCGCCCCCCTTGCAGGACGAGCGCCCCACGGACCTGCAGCTGCTGCGAGGCTCCCGTTCGAGGCCTCCAGGTCCCTGTCCAGTGTCCAGGCATCTCCCTTCTTGGGCCGCCTGGCACCTGGGTTCTCGGGCTCCCTGTGCCCCTCTGTCCGTGCTGTTTTCTTGTGGCATCCTCGAGCCCAGTCAGAACGGGGCGCAGCCGGACTTGCACAGAGGAGGAAAGGAGGAGGAGGAGGAGGAGGAGGAGGAGGAGGAGGAGGAGGAGGAGGTGCCCCTCTGTCCGTGCGACAACCCCCCCCCGCCTTTTGTTGCTCGCGCGGGTCGCCCCGCGCTGCAGGCCCGCGGTTTTTCGCTGCCGCCGTGCTCCCCTGACATCCGACGTCTTGATTTTTGTCGAGACACGGGCACCCGACCTCCCCAGACCTCCTGGCGTCGTGAAAAAATCACGACGGGAGGTTTTTCGCTATTTTCGGCCTCCGGGGGCCCTCCCCGGGCCTCGGGAGCGTCAAAAAACGACTCGGGACGAAAAGCCCGGTCCCGGGGGAAGGGGTCCAGACCTCTGGGGGTCGACGTCGTGAAAGAATCACGACGTCGGAGGTCTGGGGTCCCAGACCCCCGAGGTCGTGATTTTTTCACAACGTCGACCCCCAGAGGTCCAGACCCCTTCCCCAGGACCGGCTTTCCATCCTGGGTTGTTTTTTGACGCTCCCGAGGCCCGGCGAGGGCCCCCGGAGGCCGAACATCGCGAAAAACCTCCCGTTCTGATTTTTTCACGACGCGAGGAGGTCTGGGTCTGGGGTTGCAGACCCCCTCTTCCACCCTCCAACCACCGGCCTCGTCGCCCGGCCGGCCTCGCCCGGTCGCCTCCGCACGCGGCGGGCTTCGCCCGGCCGCCTCCGCCCGCGGCGGGCCCTCGCCCGCGGCCTCGCCGCGGCCTCGCCTGGCCGCCTCCGCACGCGGCGGGCCTCGCCCCGTCGCCTCCGCACGCGGCGGGCTCTCGCCCGGCCGCCTCCGCACGCGGCGGGCCCTCGCCCGCGGGCTCCAGCTCGCCCCGCCGGCTCCGCCCGCGCGCTGCAGCGCCCCCGCCCCGCCCGCCCGCCCGCCCCTCGCGCGTGCGGGCCCGCCCCGCCCCCGGACCCCCGACGCCGTGCTTGCTTCGCGACGTCGACCCCCAGCGGTCTGGACCCCCTGAGACCCAGACCTCCTCGCGTCGTGAAAGAATCACGACGGGAGGTTTTGCACAATTTTCGGCCTCTGTGGGCCCTCACCGGGCCTCGGGAGCGTCAAAAAACGACTCAGGACGAAGAACGGGTCCCGGGGAAGGGGTCCAGACCTGTGGGAGTCGACGTTGTGAAAAAATCACGACGTCGGGGGTCTGGGGAGATCCGATGTCGTGATTTTTTCGATGCGGGGCCCCCGGAGGTCTCGACCCAGGACCGGCTTGTCATCCCGAGCCGTTTGTTGACGGCCCCGAGGCCCGGCGAGGGCGCCTATATATAGAGGCCGAGAACTGCGAAAAACCTCCGTCTTGATTTTCTCAATGCGTTGGATCTCTGGGCCCCTTCCCTGGGACCGGCTTCTGATCATCCCCTGAGATCCGGCGCTCCAGAAAAATGGGAGCAGGCGGTTTTCGGCCGTGTTCGGCCTCCGGGGGCCCTCGCCGGGCCTCGGGAGCGTCAAAAAACAACTCAGGACGAAAAATTGGCCCCGGGGAAGCGGTCCGGACCTCCGGAGTCCACGCATCCAAGAAATTGGAGCAGCCGGATGTCTGGGTCTTGAGTCGCAGCTTGACGGTCCCGAGGCCCGGGAAGGGCCTCCAGAGGCCGAAAGCAAGGCAAAAGGACACGAGGCCAGATCCCGTCGTGAAAAGATCACGACGGGATCCCGTCGTGATCTTTTCACGACGCGAGGGGGTCTGGGCCCCCCGACCCCCGACGTCGTGATTTTTTCACGACGTCGGTCTGGACCCCTTCCCCGGGACCCGTTCTTCGTCCTGGGTCGTTTTTTGACGCTCCCGAGGCCCGGTGAGGGCCCACAGAGGCCGAACATAGCGAAAAACCTCCCGTCGTGATTTTTTCACGACGCCAGGAGGTCTGGGCCCGACCCGCCCGCGCCGCGACCCGCCCGCACGGCTCCGCCCGTGCGCCCGCGCGCGGCCGACTGCCGGCGGCGCCCACCGCGCGCGCGAGGCCGCCTCCGCCCGCGAGGCCGCTTCCGCCCCCGAGGCGGCCGCGGGCGAGGCCGGCCGCGGGGAGGGAGCCGGCCGCGCAGCGAGGCCGAGGCGCCGCCGAAGGCGACCGCGCCGGCGGAGCCGCCTCGTGCCCGAGAGGTGCACGGGCGGAGGGCGCCGCGCGTGTCGGGGCCGGGGCCCCCGCCGGGCACTGCCTCGAGAGCTCGGCCGGCCCTGCCTCTCCACCGGCACTCCGGACGGGCCATCGATGTTTTTGTGACGCCCGCAGAGCTCCAGCTGTCAAGCAGTGGGCACGGAGCCCACCGCAGACCCGGACATCGGGCGCCTCGAAAGCATCGAGACGAAGGTTTTTCGTCGTTTTCGGCCTCGCGGGGCCCTCGCCGGGCCTCGGGACCGTCCAAAAACGACTCGGGGTGAAAAACCGGCCCTGGGGAAGTGGTCGACCGTCCCAGACCTCCTGGCGTCGTGAAAAAGTCACGACGGGAGGTGTTTCGCTATGTTCGGCCTCTGGGGGCCCTCGCCGGGCCTCGGGAGCGTCGTTGCAGCGTCAGGCCATGCATAGCAGGCAAGAGGCAGCTCGACACTGCAGCGACGAGCAAGGAATGCATCCAGTCTTTTAGCGGGTACGGCGGTACCCTTCAGGGCCTTAGGTGCTGTTGATGCGGTCGCACCCGCCACACGTGGACACCCCACCTGTGGAACTAGTTTCGTCCGTAACAGCTCCCATGTCGTCGTAAAGAACCGGTCCCGGGGAAGGGGTCCAGACCTCTGGGGGTCGACGTTGTGAAAGAATCACGACGTCGGGGGTCTTCAATGGGGGCTGAGTGGCCCAATGTATCGCTCAATGTATCGCTCGTGTACGTGATCGGGTACGATTGGCATCCAATGTTGGCGGTCATTGAGGGCCAGTCGTTCGTGCCCGCGCGTTGCCCGCGCGGGCACGCCGACTGGGCGAAGCCAAGTGCGGGGAAGCCGACCGCGGCGAAGCGCGCTGGCAAAGCCGGCCAGTCCAAAGGATCGCAGGCTCGGCCATTTTTGGTCACGGAGTCTGCTTGCGAAGTCGCGCACGAGAGCACCACTCTCAAAACGAGCCGTCTTCCACACGTGCCCTTGCTGGAGCATTCGAGTGTATGGTTGTGAGTCTCGAGGAGAGTCCAAGCGGGAGAACCATTCTGAAAATAGACCGCCCTCGGCCCATGTAACGTGCCACTCTCCCCAGACCTCCGACGTCGTGATTTTTTCGGGTCGTAATTCGGGTCTCTGGCGTCCGTTGGGGACGATCCGGGCACCCCTGGCACGCTCTGGGCGAGGCGCAGCTGTTGGGATCGCATCCCGAAAAAGGACACCCCCCAGGAGCCGACGACCACGCCTGAAATCTCCACCGAAAAGTCGCGACGACCTCCCAGACCCCCGACGTCGTGATTTTTTCACAACGTCGACCCCCAGAGGCCTGGACCCCTTCTCCGGGACCGCCTCTTCATTATGTTTTTTGACGGCCCCGAGGCCCGGCGAGGGCCCCCAGAGGCCGAACATAGCGAAAAACCTCCCGTCGTGATTTTTTCACGACGCGCGGAGGTCTGGGTCACTCAGCCCCCATTGAAGACCCCCGACGTCGTGATTCTTTCACAACGTCGACCTCCAGAGGTCTGGACCCCTTCCCCGGGACCGGCTCTTCGTCCTGGGTCGTTTTTTGACGCTCCCGAGGCCCGGTGAGGGCCCCCGGAGGCCCAAAATCAGCGAAACACCTCCCGTCGTGATTTTTTCACGACGCGCGGAGGTCTGGCTCCACTCGCGCAAGTCTTGCAGTCGTCTGCGGCGACTGCGCGCGGCGCGAGGGCGAGCGCAGGCTCTGACAACGGGCCGCCCTCCCGCCCGGAGTCCGCGGGGGGTCTCAAGCTTCGGGGGCGAGGGTTTGGCATCGCTCGGACGCGTGCACTTTTCCTTCGGCGAGGGCCATCGAGGAGCATCCTTGGATCCTTTGGCGAAACAGCCAGGCACGAAACCGAACAAAAGCACAGGGAATGGACGTCCGAGCGATGCCCAGAGGAAGGAGGAGGGGGAGGAGGAGGAGGAGGAGGAGGAGGAGGAGGAGGAGGAGGAGGGGCTCGCCCTGCAGGAGAAGTGGAAGACGAGGCAATCGGGGGAGGAGCGGGAGGGGAGGATCCAGGAGAAGGAGCCTCCCCTTCCCCCCCTCTCTCTCTCCCCCTCCTCCTCCGTCCTCCTCTTCCACTTCCCTTCTTCATCCCCTCTCACCCCCTCCTGCCCCTCATCATCCTCGTCCCTCTCATCCCCCGCCCGCCCCCTCCTCCCCCTCGTTCCGCTCCCCTCCTCCCTCCATCCCTCCACCCGCTCCTCCTCCGTCTCTTCCCCCACCCCCTTCTTCTCCCCTCGGTCCGACCCCCCCTGCCCCTGGAACGATGACGAGCTCCGGTGCCCGCGGAGGCCTGTGCCCTCCGCGCGGCAGACCTCAGCGACCTGAGCACCACCTGCGACGGCGACGCCCCGCCGCCCTCCGAGTCCAACGCCGCCAGCACGGGTGGGGCAGAGGCCCCAATTTGCGGTCGCCGCCGCCACCGCCCTCGTCGTCGTCCTCTACGCCGTCTTCGCCCCTGTCGTCGAAATCCTCGCGGAGGAGGAGGAGGAGGAGGAGGAAGAGGGGGAGGAGGAGGGCCAGTGCAAACCCAAGACTCATCAACGATATTGCAATACACCCTCCTTCCAAGTTCCCCCCGTCATAGGCCCCTACACGGACTCATTTTCACTACGTAAGGGAAGTGCCCTGTTGGAAGACAACCGTTTGAGAATCAGGAATTGCACCAGAACGCCGTTTCTGGGAGTTCAACACCGCGAATCACCATTACTTTTACGTCTTGACGGTCCTGAATCGTGCCAGAAGAACACCATTCCTGGGACTCCAACGCTGCGGATCCACGCGACTGCTGCGGCCTGACATTCCGACATCGTGCCGAAACATCATTTCTGGGAGTTTAACCATAAGAAGCGTTGAAATTGCTTCAAACTCTTAAGACGAATGTGCGCGGCGCAAAGGCGAGAGCCACACATTGAAAAGGAACCGCCCTCCATCCGTGAAACTCTTGCACGCTTTTAGGACGACCGTACTCGGCGCTACAGCGAAAACCATATTTTGAAAAGGAACCCCCCTCCATCCGTGAAGCTCTTGCGAACTTTTGAAACGAATGCGCGCGGCGCTAAGGTGAGAGCCACATTTTGAAAACGGGCCGCCCTCCAGCCGTGAAACTCTTGCAACTGCAAGCTTCAGGATCACAGATCCCGAGGAAGTCTGACGGGGGCAAAAGGAGACGGACGGGGAGGATAAAAGCGAGGACGAGAGCAGGGAGAGGCGGCGGACGACGCCGCCGCCGTCGACGACGCCGAAGCCGGCGCCGACGACAGGCCAGCGCAGAAGTCTCTCTGCGCGCGGCGCCGGGCGACGCCCCCGCGCTGATGCGGCAGAGGAGCGTGCCGGTGACGCAGGCGGAGAGGCGGGGCGCAGAGGCGCCTGCCTCTCGCGCGGCGTCCGGCGTGGTCGCTGTTGCTTTGGCCGCCGTCGTCCGAGGAGGGCGGAGAGGAGGAGGAGGGGGAGGAAGAGGAGGAGGGGGAGGAGGAGGAGGAGGAGGAGGAGGAGGAGGAGGAGGAGGAGGAGGAGAAGGAGGAGGAGGAGGAGGAGGAGGAGGAGTAGGAGGAGGAGAGGAGGAGGAGACTCCTGTTCCTAATTGCTCCTCCCGCTCCTCCCACCCTTCCCGGTCGTCATCCTCATCATCCTGGTCTTTCTCCATCCTCATCATCCTGGTTCTTCTCCTCCTCCTCCTCCTTCTCCTCCTCCTCCTCCTTCTGCTCCACCTCGCGCTCCTCCTCATCGTCTGCCTCCCTATCCTCCTTCTCCTCCTCATTATACTTATACTTATCCTCGTAATGGCCACGTGCGTTCCCATCCTCCTCATCCTCCCCATCCCCGTCGTCCTCCCACTTCTCTTGTTTCCTTTCAGTGGGGGGCAGAGGAGGACGGAGGAGG